AATTTCACTATGAGAAAATAGGAATTACAACCTCTCTCGATCTACCAAGGAGAAAACAATGATATTCTCTAGATAAAAAGGAGAAAACAACTCTCAAGAAACTCTCTAAAATCTCTCTAGTATTGGAAGAAAGCTAGAATGCTTTGGGATGGTTTTGAAACTAAATGAGCTAGGGTATTTATAGTTAAAGCTTTAAGGACTAATTTGTAAATACCCTAAATTATAATGACTAATTGCATAGTTTTACCATCCAAAATTTTCAACAATTTGGTGGCCAAATTTTACCAATTTTGCCACCCCACCCCATTAATGCCACCAAATTGCCACCCATAATGTTGACAATTGATGCAATTTGGTGTGCCAATTTTCAACAATCTCCCACTTGAAGATTTGATTGGAACAATTATATCTTCACACCATTCTTTCTACCTTGCACCTTTCATGTTGCTTACGTTTCTGACAGGCCACATGAGGATCGACACCAGGTAAATTTATCAGCATTGATTGCCTTCGTCATGAAATCTGCTATGTTGTCTTTGGTATGGATCTTCTGCATATCTACCGTTCCTTCTTCCACCTTTTCACGAATGAAATGGTACTGAACTCGTATGTGCTTAGTCCTTGAATGAAATGCTGGATTCCTTACTAGATGCAAGGCGCTTTGACTGTCACAAACAGAGACATACTCTTGATTGTGCCCAAGCTCCTCCAATAGCATCTTCAACCAAATTGCTTCTTTACTGGCTTGTGTAGCTGCTACATATTCTGCCTCTGTTGTGGACGTAGCCATAACTGACTGTAATTTTAAAACCCAGCTTACAGCTCCACCAGCAACTTTGAACACATATCCTGTAGTAGATTTGCTTTTATCCAAATCCCCTGCATAGTCAGAATCTACATACCCATTGATTAGTAAGTTTGATCCTCTGTAACATAATGTAACATTTGAGGTCCCTTTGATGTATCTTAGGATCCTCTTTACAATATTCCAATGCTCTTTGCCTGGATTCGCCATGTACCGACTAACCACTCCCACTGCTTGTGCAATGTCTGGTCTTGTGCATATCATAGCGAACATTAAACTTCCCACTGCTGATGCATATGGTACTCGAGACATCTCCATCCTCTCTTCTTCACTGCTAGGACTCATACTGGAGGATAATTTGAAGTTAATAGGAAGAGGGGTATAAATTGGCTTACAATCTTACATGCTAAATCGTGACAAGATTTTCTTCAAGTAATTCTTTTGTGAAAGCCAAATCTTCCTATTACTTCTGTCTCGGTGAATTTGCATCCCTAGAATCTTGTTTGCTGATCCCAAGTCCTTCATTTCAAATTCCCTAGCCAGTTGTGCCTTCAATTCTTCAATATGATCTTTGTTGGGTCCTGCAACCAACATGTCATCCACATACAACAACAATATAACAAAATCGTTATCACCAGACCTCTTGAAATAAGCACAAGGGTCTGCATTAAGTCTGTTGTATCCAAGGCACATAATGAAGGAATCAAATCTCTTATACCAACACCTCGACGCCTGCTTTAAACCGTACAAAGATTTGTTCAACCTGCAAACCAAGTTCTTCTTTTCGTCTTCTTCAAAACCTTCAGGCTGGAGCATATAAATCTCTTCTTCAAGATTTCCATGAAGAAAAGCTGTTTTAACATCTAGCTGTTCCAAATGTAAATTCAATGTAGCACACATTGCCAAGACTACTCGAATTGTTGTTAGTCGAACCACAGGAGAAAAAATTTCATTGAAATCAATACTTTCTTTCTGAGCATATTATTTGACCACCAGTCTTGCACGATACCTCTCCACTTGATCATCACCATTTCGCTTGATTTTGAAAACCCATTTGTTACCAATTGGCTTCCTTCCTTGTGGTAGTGGCACAAGGTCCTATGTATTATTTTTATAAAGGGCTTCGATTTCTTCTTGCATCGCCATCATCCACAGTGAAGCATCTGAGCTGTTTATTGCTTTCTGGTATGTTGATGGCTCACCGTCCTCTGTTAAAAGGCAGTATGCAATATACCTTCTATAAATAATCTGAGTTCCAATTGGGATCTTCTCACACGATCTGATTGACGAGTTGTTGGCTTCAGAACTCTCTTGTTCTTGTTCATCATGTACTGGTTCTGCTTCAGAAGAATCTCCTTCTTCAAACTCTTTTTCCATGTATCTGAGTAGTCTCTGACTTTTCAACGCTATCGTCTTCTTTCTTTGTAGTTTATCTTCTACAAAGATAACATCCCTGCTAATGATCACTTTGCGGGCAGTGGGATCCCATAAGATACCCTTTTACTCCATCAGCATACCCCAAGAATTTGCATTCCTGGATTTTGGATCCAGCTTTGAAATTTCTTGGGCGTTGTACATCACGTACACAATACTTCCAAATACATGGAGGTTTGAATAATCAACTGGTTTACCAGTCCACATCTCTATTGGTGTCTTCAGCTCTATTGCAGTTGATGGAGCTCGATTCACCAAATAACAGGCGGTATTGACTGCTTCTGCCCAGAATGATTTTTCTAGGCCTGCGTCCCTTAACATTGCTCTTGTTCTTTCTAACAAGGTTCTGCTCATACGCTCTGCCACTCCATTTTGTTAAGGAGTGTTCGCCACTGTGAACTATCTTTTGATGCCTTCTTTCTTGCAAAAGTCATCAAATTCTTCGCTTGTGTATTCTCCTCCATTATCTGTTCTGAAACACTTGATCTTATTTCCAGAATCAAGTTCCACCCGCGCTTTGAAGTTTTTGAAAGTTGAAAACACTCTGACTTCTTCTTAATAGGGTGCACCCAACATCTCCTGGAGTCATCAATAAATGAGACAAAGTATTTTGCTCCACCTAGGGACGTTACTGGTGCTTGCCATATGTCAGAGTGAACCAATTCTAGAACACTTTTGCCTCTAGAATTTGATGTGTTGAATTTCAACCGGTGCTGCTTACTTGTTATGCAATGCTCACACAAAAGAAGTGATACCTTTGTTAAGCCTGGAAGTAGCTTTTGCTCCACAAGGACTTTCATTCCTTGTTCTGACATGTGTCCAAGTTTCTGATGCCATAGCATTGCCGAATCTGAACTACATGAGGCAATAGAAGTTTCTGCTTCTACCAAAGTCTCTCCCTTCAGCATGTACAAGTTTGCAGCTATTTTTTCGCCTTTCAGTACCACAAGCGCTCCCGGAACACTTCATCCTTTTCGTGTTTCAATCTTGCTTGCATTATCCAACAATCCGTAGGATATAAATTTTTCTTTAGGCCTTTCACGTGCCGCACATCTCGAACAACTTTAATTGTTTCGTCATACATCTTCAATTTGATGGTCCCACGCCAACGATCTCTAAGGCTGATCATTGCAACTATAACAGATCCTCCTGAGACAGGTTCATAATGATGGAACCATTCTCTTTGAGGTCATGTGATATGTTGCTCCCGATCAATGAGCCATATATCTGTAAATCGTTTTCTTCCTTTCACGATGGTTGGCTTCACAGATAGAGCATCTCCATCATCTGAAGTGTTGCGGTATTGCCTTGTGGATTGGAGTTTTTATTTAGAATCCAACAATCCTTCTTCAAGTGACCATTCTTTCCACAGTGGTACACTTTAAATTCTTCTTGCTCCTCGACTTCGATCTACCATGTTATGACTGCTGCTTTGGCCATGTTCTGTTGATCTCCCTCTCATCGTTGTCAACGCTTCTGCTTGTTGCAGATTTACTTGTCTGTCTTCCTTGTTCTTGCGCGATTTTTTCTTGTAGAACAGCAGCTGCAACGTCATCGAAGACTAGACTGGTGACATTATTGTTTGTCAAGTTGATGATGAGTTGATCGTACGAATCCGGTATACTTTGAAGTAGAAGTTCAGCACGTTATTGTTCTCCTATTTAACAGCTTAAGATGTAAGCTGAGAAAATAAGGTGTTTAGTGTATTTAAGTGCTCCGTCACTGAAGTAGATTCTGGCATACGAGAGTGTACAATTTCCTCTTAAGGAAATTTTATTGCAGCGATGTGGCCTCGTACAATTTGATGAGATGATCCCATATCTCCTTAGCTGTCTTCTCCTCGATGCTTGACAATACTTCATCTGCTAATCTAGATGAAATTTTGCCATAGCATTCCCGTCCATCTCGTTCCATTTGATGTCATCTGCGAAATCCACGGCCTTTCATTGATAGCCGCTAGACACCCGTCTTTCCTTAGGATGGCCTTCATCTTCATTTTCACAAAGAGAAATTTCTCCCATTGAATTTTTCAATATCAATTTCGTTGCCATAGCTTCTTTTACGGATAGCTCCCACTATTTCACTATCGTGAATAGTTCTCAGGAACCTTCAAAGATGGTAATACTGCTTATTTTCTTATGTTGGAGGATCCACCTTTTGGTGGCAACCACAAAGACAATAAGCAGATATTACACACTCTAATCTAGCTGTACCAATGTTGCGGAAGACAGCTATCGGATAGAGCAAAATCGTAACTGATAATTGAGAAATAAAATGAAGATAAAGAGACACAAAATTTACGTGGAAAACCCCTAAAAATTTAGGGTAAAACCACGGGCAGCGGTAGAAGAATTTCACTATGAGAAAATAGGAATTACAACCTCTCTCGATCTACCAATGAGAAAACAATGATAATTCTCTCTAGATAAAAAGGAGAAAACAACTCTCAAGAAACTCTCTAAAATCTCTCTAGTATTGGAAGAAAGCTAGAATGCTTTGGGATGGTTTTGAAGCTAAATGAGCTAGGGTATTTATAGTTGAAACTTTAAGGACTAATTTGTAAATACCCTAAATTATAATGACTAATTGCATAGTTTTACCATCCAAAATTTTCAACAATTTGGTGGCCAAATTTGACCAATTTTGCCACCCCACCCCATTAATGCCACCAAATTGCCACCCATAATGTTGACAATTGATGCAATTTGGTGTGCCAATTTTCAACAGAGTGTGCACCTCCACGGCTCACAAATTAAACAAGTTGAACATGGGGAACGTCGATGAGGATGTTAGGGTTATGACTCGTAAGAGCGTGGACGATCCTGGTGAGCCACCGGGCATTGTGTTGAGCGCCGCTACTTCGGTTTGGTTGCTGGTGTCTAATCAAAGATTGTTCGATTTCCTACGCGATGAACGGCTGAGAAGCGAGTGGGACATCTTGTCCAATGGTGGTCCAATGCAAGAGATGAGCTACATCGCCAAAGGCCAAGATCACGGCAACTGCATCTCCCTCCTCCGTGCCAGTGTAAAATTCCTCACAACCTTTCCTATCTCTAATAAGAAAAACACCTTGCAACGAATAGGGTCATAGTTTAGTGATGAAAATGAAAAACTGAAACGACAAATCTGGGAATTGAATTATCTATGAAGATAAAAAGATTTCATGAAATGTTACTATAACGTGTGCTGATTATAAAACTTTATTTTGAATATTCAATGTATAGGACGCTTGTAACCTTTTTCACCTTTCATTTTAGCGTTTTCTGATCAAAAGCTTTATGTTTTTGTTGTTTTCTTCTTTTGGGTGTAGGCCATGAACTCGAACCAGAGCAGCATGATGATACTGCATGAGACATGCATCGATGCGGTGGGGTCGCTCGTGGTGTACGCGCCCGTTGACATCCCAGCCATGCTCGTGGTTATGAACGGTGGTGATTTATGCCTTATATGCACATCTGTCGTGTGCTTTATATGCACATCCCATGAACAACTCCGTTTTTCTCGCGCCAGAGACCATTTGAGTATACATAAACTTCAAGTTCACATCAGTTTGTTCATCGTTGCTCACATGGGGATGATTTTGATCGGTGATGTAAGCAAAATCACGTGGTGGAAAATGCGAGAAATCGCGCTCCGTATGAAAGAAAGTTAACTTCTTGTTGACGTAATAATCTGGTATCAGCATTCCTTTGGGGATATCCCAAGCCCAAAATGGCAACGTGAACGAGTCGTCGTCAATGAAGCTACTGAGGATTCGTTCGTGGAAGTATATCATCATGCGGTGCCAGGGGAAAAACAACCATGTACGGTGGATGTTCACCGAGGAGTCGGAGTGGTTTAGTTGCTCGTACACGCCGGTGTAGAACTGGCAGTGTAACTCAGCTTGACGGATGAAGCTTTGAGCGTCGTCGTAGGGCAACGACTTCATTATCTATAATGCGTTTTTGTTTTTGGCAATTAGCTCTCGTTCAAAAGCTGAGTTGGACGACAAACTCTAACCAGCGACCGAGGATCGGGGAATTCGAAATCAACAAAGGGTATCGATTTCTCGAATTCCGGTGGGCAACAGTAAACCAGAAGATCCGGTCGGCCATACGAGTGGTGGCAGGCTGTCATGTTCGGCCAAATAGCTCTACTCTTTGCAACATTGTCGTCGACGCCATTGTTGAACGTTGCCCATAATCGAAGCTTGTCGAGTATAATGCTCGCTAGTTCCCTGAACAATCAAAATAAACACAGTGATAAACAAAAATATATCATAATCTGATGGGCAAGTTTTGGACGCTATCATCACGGTGAAAGTTCCCAGGTCGATGAAGAGGGAGAACAAAGAGTAGGAAGAAGAAGAAACCATTGTCGTGTACGGAATTAAAGTTAAAGAGGGAGAGTGACACATGTCGTTCTCTCATTAGTACAAAATTCTCAAAAAAAATATTAATTTTTTAACAAAAAAATCTGACGTGTCAATTCCACATGAGCATACATTAGTGATGTGGACAAGCCATGTCATCAGTTGTCTCCACATGTGCTTGCTTAGTTAGTTGGAGCGTTGACCATCAGTTGACTAACGATTTCCATCCAACGGGGCGACTTTTGAATCAAAATAAAACATTGTGGGGTCAAATGTTCTAAAAAAAACAATAGGGGCATATTTGCATATACTGTCAAATGTTAGAGGTATTTATTTGCATTATGCCCTAGAAATATTATCGTCATCGGTTAATCATAAGAAACAAGCTTCTTAAGTTTTAAAAAGAAAAGAAATATTATCATTAATGACATAATGATGTGGCTAATGGCCGCCTCCAACGTGGCCAACGACTGCCTCCAACGTGGCCAACGGCTAACAACGTGAACACCTATCCAAAGTTATATCGTTTTGATCTTACTATTAACAATTTAACAAGCTATTGGTATAATTGAAACGAAAATCAAAGTTCAGTGTTATAATTGAAAAAATTAAAAGTTCAATGATATAAACGATACAACGCTTAAAGTTTAATGGAATATGGTGTAGTTTACCTTAATAATTTTTACGTTAAGAAAGTTATTCAAGTTATTTATTTAAGAAAATATTTTTTTTTAATATAAATAGGAGAGAGAATATTTAAAAGTATAAGTGTTGAAAACATTTTGATATTTTGATATAACAAATTAAGTTAAATGAATTTTAAGATTTTCCAAATGATTTTCTAAGTATATTCGATATAATTATTCGAATATCAAAACATTACTCCAAATATTTCAAAAATCATTTTTAATCCTTACTTAAGTGTAAAATTAAGTTTTAATCTTAAAACAATTTCAAAATAATCTTTCAAAGTATTTCGAACCATTTCAAAGCCAAAAATTCCAGATTGCTCAGAGGGAACCGATTCCTCCCCAAGGGGGTACCGATTCCCCCTGAATGGTTTGGCTCCGAGATTTCCAGAATGCTCAGAGGGAACCGATTCCCCCATAGGGGGTACCGATTCCCCCCTGTTCAATGGTCGAAATATTTGAATTTTACACTTAGGGAACCGATCCCCTATGAGGGGGAACCGATTCCCCCCACGCTCTAAGCATTTTTATTAAATGTTTTCACACTTAAACGGCTATATTATCATCATTAATTATCCTCAACGTTCAGAAGTGATTCAAGGTGTATTTAAACAAGTTCTGAAGCCCTTGATCAATAAGAAAATATAGAGAAACAAGAGAGAAAGCATCAAACACCAAGTTTGTGCAAATCAAGCCAATTTTCCTTTCAATATTCATTTTGCTTTCAAGAACACCATTTGTGCTCATTTGTAATTATCTTTGAGTGTTCTTTTCTTGTTCTAGAATTGTGCAAACATCTTACCTTGTGAGGTTTTCCTTGTAAGTTTGCAAATTTGTAATCTTCTCTTTGGGAAAGAGTGTTCTCAAGAATTGGGATATATTCTTGAGGGTGTTGTAAGGTTATCTCTTTGGCCTCAAAAGAAAGAACAAATTAGTGAATTTGTTGGAAAATCCTTAGTGTGGATAGCTAAGGTAGTGGACGTAGACTTTGATTGAGAAAGTCGAACCACTCTAAATCGCTGTGCAATTACTTTCAATTTTCTGCAAAAGCTTCCACCAAATTTTTAATTGCCAATTCACCCCCCTCTTGGCCAAATCTGTCAATCGATTAACTCAATAATTGGTATCATAGGCTAACTAATTTGAAGGTTTAATCGCCTCTTGAGTCGATTCGGGAAGAGTTATATCGATTATCAAAGTCATCAATGGCCTCCGCTTCAAACTTCGACTCCGGTCTCGATTCGATGCCCGTCAACAAGCCTCCTTTCTTCAATGGAGCTAACTATGCTTATTGGAAGAATAGAATGATGTACTTCATTCAAGCAAGTGACATGGGAGCATGGAATGCTGTAGAAGAATGATACATCAAACCTCTCACTCATCCAAGGTTGTGGAGTGAAGGAGAGACAAGAATGTTCCAGCTCAACTCCAAAGCTATCCATATCATTTTTTGTTCTCTTGGACTAGATGAATACGGAAGAGTTTCATCGTGTACAACCGCCAAAGAAATATGGGACAAACTTCAAGTCACTCATGAAGGTACCGATGAGGTAAAGAAATCTAAAATTAGTATTCTAACGCATAGCTATGAAAATTTAAGGATGAAACCAAATGAAGATATCAAAGCTATGACGGATAGATTTTCAACGATTGTCAATGGTCTCAAATCATATGGAGAGATCATTTCAAATGAAAAGCTTGTGAGGAAGTTAGTCTACTCCCTCCCAAAATCGTGGCAATCAAAGAAGACGGCAATCATCGAGTCTAAGGACTTAACGCCCTTAACTCTTGAAGAGCTAATTGGGTCACTCCTCACTCATGAAATGATGCTCGAAGATGAGGTGGACCTCGACAAAATTGACGAGACACCAAAGGAGAAGAAGAAGAAGAAAAACATTGGAGTTGCTCTCAAATCCACAAAAGATGAGAGTGATTCGAATAATGATGACGATGACGAGGAAATGGCATTGTTTGCCAAACGGTTCAGAAAAATGATGAGACCTTATCGAGGAAGAAAATTCAAACGAAATGAAGGCCTAAAAAATGAACCGAAAGAGAAGGACCCAATCATTTGCTACGAATGCCCACAATTGAAGAAAAAGGGTCAATCAAAGAATAAGCACAAGGCTCATATGGCTACATGGAGCGATGAAGAAAGTTCCGATGAAGAGGAACAAGAAGTAGCTAACCTGTGCTTGATGGCATTTGGGGAAGATTCTAAGGTAACCTCTAACTCATCCGATTTTGAGGATTTATCCTATGATGAGTTATTAGAGGAATATAATGGGTTGGCTTCGGATTATGAGAAATTATTTTTAAAATATAAAAACGATGTTTCAAAATTGAAAAATGAAAACAAACTCATATCCAAAACCAACAACGATCTTGAAAGTAAAATCAAAGATTTGCAAATCAAACTAGAAGAGTTTGAAAAGAAAAATTTAGATTTGCAAAATTTACTTTCAAAGATCAATGATGATCATCAAAAGAAATTGATGATCTTAAAACTTCTTTTGATAAAGTTAGAACAAAACATTTGAAAAAGGTGGAAATTCAAAATCCAACTTTGTTAAAAAAAGTTTTAGAAACTACAATCATAGAGGTCCCAAAGAACCTCTAATGGAAAATCGTTAGAAGTATGTGGGTTCCTAAAGAACTCATTACTACTAAAGATAAAAATATCCTACACAAATGGATACCTAAGGGGACTAGGATTTTGGAAACTAATGAATATGGACCCAAAAAATTTGGGTACCAAAAATCAAAAATTAATCTATGTTTATAGGGAAAGGAGCATTGCTACAAGGCACGGGAAACAAATTCAAATTCATGGTACCTTGATAGTGGATGCTCAAGACACATGACCGGAGACAAAAGCTGGTTCATTGAGCTTAACGCCAAAAAATGGAGGAGAAGTGACTTTTGGAGACAATTCAAAAGGTCACATTGAAGGTATTGGTACAATAGGTAATACCTCTTCCATACAAATTAAAAATGTTTTATATGTGAATGGATTAAAGCATAATCTATTGAGTATTAGTCAATTATGCGATAAAGGATTCAATGTCTTATTTGAAATTAATGGTTGTAAAGTCATTGACATTGCATCTAATCGGATTATGCTTATGGTCATAGAATAGGGAACATTTACATGGTGCATTTAGATTCTTTTGATATGACTAATTTATGCCTAGTTGCTAAAGATGAACATGATAGTTGGTTATGGCATAGGAGACTAGGACATGCTAGTATGAGTGTTTTGCAACGGCTAATTCAAGGTGATTTAGTTCAAGGGTTGCCTAAGCTTAAATTTGATAATGATAAAATCTGTGATGCTTGTGCTAAAGGAAAACAAAAGTGTGTTTCTTTTAAATCCATTAATGACGTATCAACTAGTAGAGTATTACAATTGATCCATGTAGATCTTTTTGGGCCAACTAGGACTACTAGCTTGGGTGGAAAACAATATGCATTTGTCTTGGTAGATGACTATTCTAGATATACTTGGGTTCTATTTTTAAGTACTAAAGATGAAGCATTAGAACAGTTCATCATATTTTCAAAAATAATCCAAAATGAAAAGGGTTACTCTATAACTAGTGTTAGGAGTGATCATGGCACTGAATTTGAAAATCTTGGATTTATTGAATTTTGTAATTCTAATGGTATTAGTCATAATTTTTCAGCACCTAGAACCCCTCAACAAAATGGAGTTGTTGAGAGGAAAAATCGAACTTTAGAAGAAATGGCTAGAACCATGCTTTGTGAAAATAATTTGCCAAAATATTTTGGGCGGAAGCC